TAATATTTTTTCAGAATGCATTTTTTGCATATGAAATTTGGTCAGTTTGTCCAAATTTGTTGCGGGACTCAGACAAGGATTAACTTGACATTTGATCCGTTCTTAATCACCAATGGTTTGCTTAGGTCACCACGTTATTTACGACTCGTGAAGATCCGGGTTAGGATTGGTTTTCCGAAACCTATGCATGTCGAAAGAGGCGACTAACGGGATCGGGTGGTCAGGCCCGCTGACCTGGTTGACACACGTCATCGTATCCCAATTGCGCAGATCGATGTTCGTGTCAACCACGGTATTTTCTGGTCCAGACTCGATTATTTACAGACCGCCGTCATATAGCCGGAATATTGCTGAGTGCGGCGTTAAACAACAAGCAACCTACCGTTATATACAGACCCCCAATCATACCTAGAATATCCACAGATTTTGTTTTCAATATATGTGGCTTCCTTTTCAGTAATTTGTTGATCACTCTATTTCAGATGTGGACTTGCGCATGCGCTACGTCACAATTAATGTTGTTTATTATTACGTATTTGCGAAATGTAAAAATGAAAAACGCCTAACTTCAGATGTTGCTTTTGATGAACCGAAGATATACTACTGGATGATGACTACAATAAGAAATAGGATTGGATCACGAGAAAACACAAAGAGTTTTTCATTCCAACTTGCTGTTACAAACCTAAACAGAGTAGCTCCCGACCATTTGAAACAAGCCAAAGTTTTCAAGGGTTTCACTATAACTGTTGGCAAACACATTACTTTCAAGTCGCTTAAAGTCGAGACACACAAGTTAAGAAGACGTGGACGACATCGATTTGCTGTGGTGCTTGATAAAATCAATGGACGAATGTTTCTTGGAACCCGAACATATTGTCTTGCTGCGCAGGATTCCATCGATGTTAGATTTAAGTTGTATCCGGTAGTGGTGCATTCCTCCAGGAGTGCAACAGGAACTAATCGAAACCGAATTTTGTTTCACGGTATGAAAAGAAAGAAATTTAGTGCCGAGGATGTGGGGAACCTTTTGCGTCGATGTGAGCATGATTTTGCGTTGTGAGTCGTCCAAGGCGTCGCAATTAGCTGTGCAAAGTCATTGAGCGTGTGATAACACTGTGACAGTGGTTTTGAATGTTGTTTGTCTTGCTGTATCTCTGTGTCAAACCCGTGACCATGTCTTTCCCCAAATGTGGAATCGTCTCTAGAAGACCTGCATCACTTCAATCTTTTCTGATACATTAAACAATTGAGCCGCGCTGTTACTGACGTACGATTCAAACTCGATCGCACACTGAATGATTAAAAAGGGAAAATCATGTTACAAAAGTGATGCCATTAGGTTTTCGAAGCAAACGAAATCTCCATGTTGTAGACATGTAAATGTGCAGTCAACACGTCTGGCAGCGAGTTTTGAGTATTTTCAGTACTAACCCTTTAAGTGGTTGGTTGTCATTGTTTCAGCGGTGTAGAAATGGTTGGCATCCAAGTGTTCATGTGGTCATTATAACGGTTATCCTACCTTTTCACATGTCGGAGCTAATTTAAGAAGAAATGTATTTTTATAACCAAGGATACGATGTTAAAACTTCTCCATACGGTAACGGAGCGTTAAATACATCAACTAATAGTAACATTCTCAACTCATTACACCAGTTCATTTCTAAAAGTAACCGCTTCCAGTGATGATCACCACTACATATATATTGAATGTACCTCAAGTTTTATATAATAGGATTTTCAGCTGCAGCTCATTTCGTTGCCAGGCATAACCAACACCATAGCGAACATCTTCATTAGTCAAGCATATATCTCAGATATAATGTATGATGGTTTCTCAATATTTTTTCCCAGTATTATTCTTTTGTTTGTCAATTATTTCATTTATGTATCCAGCTATTGTAATCATGTTCTGGAGCGGCGTTCATATACGTCACTAGGCTTGTTCGCCTATCCAGGTTTCAGTTTTGTGAAATAAATAATTATATGTTTAAACCAAATGGTTTGGCATTAGTGGCTCACGTACAAGCACCAACAAAGACGCCGAGCTCTGTACATCCAGAAAGTCCTTTTTAGGGTATTCAACTGCGAACTAAAATCGCAGAACAAACAGCTTTACCCCACTTCCGGTGGACATATTCCAGTCTCCTTGACTTAACCTTGAACTTTTCCATTGTATGATTAACCCTTTATACTACGAGGATGAGGAATAAATATACATTGCATAAATTTACATTTACATTTGCCAATTTGCCATGAATGTTGCCGGGGCACTGGTTGTATTATACAGGCCAACGTCACACACGAGGGATAGGCGGATACAGAGGAGGGTGCAGGGTGGCACCTCCACCCCACCACCCGCTCACTCACTGTACATATTTGATTTCGGTCAAGGTGTAAATGTTACATGTGTGTGTAGTTTAAGCAGATTTACAGTGGTTAATATAAAACCTTTTAACATGTTGGTGATAAACAAACGATCTGTAGGCGGGATCTTAGATTGAAGGCTCTTTACAGGTGTGTATTTGTGTTTGACGACGTAGCAAAGATCACAGGATGATAAGACATATGATTGCAGAAACCAGTCTTAATGCAGCTTTAAAATATGATTATTTCAGGAGAGTGATCATATTTCTAATGGAGTCTGTTGTAAATCGAGACAAACCTTTAAGTGCTACTTGATTTACAACCATAATGTTATCAGTCACTGTGATAAAGTCAGCACTTAAGGCCAGCTCAGTGTAGTGTAGTTTTACGCGGTTTTCAGCAATATTTCAGCAATATTACGGCGTGGGACACCAGAAATGGGCTTCACACATTGTACCTATGTGGGGAATCGAACCCGGCCTTGCGTGACGATAACGCTATGCTACACAACGCCCCCAGCCATCAAGACGACAGCAATAGGTGAAGCCAGTCAGTGAGCTACCACGGTATATATCACAAATACACAATGGCTTTAGAAAGTGATCAAATGCAAAAATGTAAACTACAGATTCTAGTACTTTGGGGGTTGAATCCCATGTGGGTTAGGCACTTATTCGCCAGCACACAAAGTCAGCCATCTAACCACTCAGCCACCGCGACTTCCACTAAAATGACTAACAAGTAGTAGTCTAGATGACATGTGGGCACTTTGTTGAGTATATATCGAATATATATCACGTCTTAAAATACAATGCCATTTGTAAATATATACTCAGCAGCAAAAAAAACGTCAGTACGAATTCAAAATTAGATAGGCACTGTAATCAAATCATTACAGAAATGGACATAATAAGCGGATCAAAAACATTTTTGTGTACAATATCTTGACACATCAATGAATAACTCAGCACAATTGCAAGACATTGCTTGAACGTTTGCAGTCCATTCAGACTCTTGAATTCAGTATCTTATGTGACCACCACGAACGGCAATAACTACAGCACAGCGTCTATTCATTGAGTGCACCAATCGATTGATGAAGGCCATTGTCACCTGGAACCACACTCTGAGAAAGGCCTGGCGCAATAAATCCGCTGTGTTCGGCCTCGGTATGACATTATTCAGTCTCCTCTGAATTTCATCCCAGAGATGTTCAACTGGGTTTAAATCAGGACTAAGGGCTGGCCACTGCATAATGTTGACACCGTTCTGCTGTAGGAAGTCCCGTGTAGCTCTGGCAGTATGGGCCCGGGCGTTAACATGTTGGAAATGTTGTTCCGGTGACGTGCGAAAGCTTGGTCGATGAAGCGCACCGCTGTGAGGCCGCCTCCTCTCCCTGGACCAAGGTTCTGGAACACCACAGGACCCGCTCTCTGGTTCAGGCCTATTCAACCCCCCATACAATGACGCTTGCACCTCTCCATGAGTCTCTTTCCATAACACATTGGTCTGAGTAACGCTGGCCACGTCATCGCCATATTCTTGTTCTGCCATCTGCAGTTGATACGCAGTACCGACTCTCATCTGTGAACAGAACAGTTCTCCATTGGCTGTATCGCCAGTTTTGGTGTTGTAGGGCAAACTGTAGACGTTCACGCCAGTGACGAGGGGTGAGGATAGGTCCACGGTAAGGTCTACGGCACTGAAGGTTCCCGCTGTTAAGACGTCGGCGTACTGATTGGTCTTCCGTGTGTTCCCCGTCTGACGCTATTTCGGATGCCTGCATGAAGGGATTCTGTACATGCTGTCGCACAACATGGCGGTCTTGTCGTCACCCTTGGTCTGCCAGTACAGGGGCGATCACTTGTGGTGTTGGTGGCCCGGAAACGTTGCTGCAGCCTGTAGATGGTCCGAACGTTGACCTGGAGGTGATTGGCACGGCTTGTGCAGTGTGGCCAGCTTGAAGTCTTCCTAGCGCCTGGTTCCTGTGAGCTGTCGTGAATTGCGACATCCTGCTGACTTTGTAATGTGAATGTTTCAGTCAGGTTTGGGGGTGCATTTTATAGGGCTGGTCCTTGTGAACAGCACGTGCAGCACGAGTTGCATGAAAAACATGGAGAATACCGTACCATCTCCGAGATCAGGTTGCGTTTTTGAGACCATTTCCTGGGTTCAATTCTGAGTTTGGGAAGGAATATCTTTGCTCAGGTAAAGTTGGAGATGTTGTCAAAAATATACAATCAAAACATTAAATGAGTTTACAGTTATCAGTTTCTTCGAAGGAAAATTCCAAACTGACGTTTCTTTTGCTGCTTAGTATATAATGTAGAGAAGAAAGATTGATTTACAACTCAAATGACATCAATAATCAGCCCTTAATTCTGCGTATATTAGATGCCTACAAATATAAATGTATTGAAATGATACAGGTTTATTTATTTGTTCCAACACAGAAACACCATAGGGTACATGTGTACTGCTTCGTTTGTTTGTGTTTTGTTTTGTTTTTTGTGTGTGTTTTGTAGGGTTTCTTTTTTTAGTTGTTGAAAAATGAAACAAACCAATAAGTCATGCATATGCTGGCCGCTGAAAGACTGCCACCTTCTTCTTAATCAAACACACATGATGACAAACATGATTTATATGTTTTATTTCTTTATAAAATTAATGCTATGATGATGTTCAGTAAGAACACAGCTCATCCAATAAATAGTTTTGGATGTACAGGTATATACATGTTTATCTACACACAATGCTTAGAGCTGACAATGCTGAATAAAATGTGGAGCAATGTAAAAGTTACATTCATAACTAATACCATTATCACAATAAAGCATACTCTAGTACCATTGCTTCAGAACACTCTACAAACTGTATGTACAAATAATACAGATCATTAATAATCAGCCATTTATCACAGGGCCAGACTCTTCCAGTCACAGACCCTCACATGTAATCAAATCTGATATGAGGACATCGTTACCATGGCTACCATAGATACATTTTCATGGCATGAAGTATCAGGGTAGCAAAATATTCCACAAATATGTTCTTAAAAACTTCATTGAAATGTACAGTCTGACCCACATACCTCCACATTCAACGCTGTCTTTTGTCCACGACAAATCAATTACTGGTTCTAACCTTAGGCCAGTACATGCTGCTGATTAACATCCCATCTTAAGCATCAGGAGGACAATGAGCAGGACTGTGTGTGTGAGTCTCATATCATAGCTGCATGCTGGGTCATGTTTCCTTGGGATATTTGGACAATTCTAATTTGTAATAACCAGGCATTTTCCAATACATTACCCGAGCAGTACACAAACCCCTGATCTGTCCTTTCCTCATATTTCAAAAGAAACCCTGACTGCTCTGTCCACAAACTAATAGAAAATTGCACCCACTTCTTTCTCTGATCCTTTTAGGACAAAGATTTGCATGGTAGGTTCACATAACTTTCTTTACCAAAACCTCCTTCCATCCATCCAACAATGTCTCTTTTCTCATAGGATTCCAAACATTTAACAGGGGTGGCAACAGGAACATCCATTTTCAGCTGAAAACTTAATATTGTGTCATCAAATGGGGGGTTCAGGGGGGCATAATTTGAACCATTATCAGCAGAAATCCGCAGATCAGCGCATAATTGCCATAACTGATTTCAACAATTTCTGGAACATTTTGGGGTTGTTTTCTGTGAGTTAATTTTTCATGGGGGGGCAAGGGGATGATATTAATCGGGTTCCTAATTTGACCCCTGTTGCAATGGGAAGAAGTGGCTGTGATACAAGCATAATACTGAAAACATGTTTATATTTTACAGACATTGAGATACTTACTTTATAAAATAAAATATTTTCTACAATCACAGATATCAAAATAGGTATGAACTTTTGAAGAGTATAGATGTCAATTCAGTATTATTATGCATAATATAATATCAGGAGATTATTGCATAAATTTTCAGAAGAAATTGCAACTGGTGAGGTACAATGTCAATTATAAAGTTTAAACTTTATACAGTTATGGACTACAGTCTGAATCCCAAAAACTTCACAAGAGTACATGCAAACTGCTGACAGGTGGCTGAAACAAATACACATATTACAAAACTTAATCTGTCAGTTCATCTTATACAACATGAAAAGAAGAACAATAAAGAATTCTCTTCTGTCGCATTTCAGACAAAGTTTCTCTATTGTTTTTAGTGTAGAAATTGCAATGGATGGGTACAGAGATCAGCCTTTCCCACGACTCTGTATAACGGTTGAATACAACTGGACTTTCAACTCAGAAAATATCCAAATCTTACAAGACATACTGCATTTGTGATACAAAAATACAAAAGCTTAAACTTCAAAATGCATTTCACACTTTCGAATACAATTATTTATCTTAAAATGGAATAATAATATAATGGTCTGTTATTAATCAAGTGGGAAGAATAGAGCCATAATATTCATCATATGTTTATGAAAAGACTTTATCACACTTGTCATTTATGGAGACAAAAGTAAAAATGGTTGTGTTGAATGTGTGCTCTTCGTTTACACATATTCCTTCACAAACACAGAAACTTACTAAAGTGTTATAAATAAAACAAGCATGTCAACAATGTTACCTTTGCTGATTGTTCATTTAATCATTTCAGAAAAACTGAGGTAACAATACAAAATCAGAGCCAGCTTTCACCACACTATTGTCACACAAGCTGTGTCCAGTCTAATATCAACAACAAAACACTTGTCAATTTGTGGGATTGGCCTAACCTTTTTAAATTTATGAAATTATAATCCAAAAGGTAATTTTCCAGTTATTGTGTACAACCATTATACAAAAGCGTACTTATAGCTCTAAACTAAAACATATTGCATTCTAAATTACACAAGACATGCTACAAACTGACGGTTTCAGCTCCCCCAGCTGTATAAAGTAACAAACTGGAAGACTACCATAATCTAAACATGTTGGGTGGTACCCTACATCAGCAGATGACCACACAGAGACACCATCAGCAGCTACATCACTACAACTACAATACAGTTCATCTGTTGGACCAGTTTCTGCTAAACGCAGAAATTGGAGGAGATGAAAAGGGGAGCATAAGCAGACTTGTATAAAAAACAATATCCTTATTTCAAATCACCACTGTGCATAGTTATAATCTTGTTTAAATTAAAATGTCTGTACTGAAGAGCACTTTCATTCATATTGTGTGTACAAATATATAAGTATACAAAAGGTAGGGTTTATCTTCAAATCACATGTATTCTGAACTAAAGAAGATGAAATCATGAATGTTTAGGGGTTGGGTTCTGTTTTTTATGATCATCACACAATTTCATAGAAATGTCCTCTCAAATATTCAGGATTCCTAATTTTTTGGTTTAATATAAAACAAAACATTACACATGTGTATACCATTTAGTAACAGATTACATCAACAAACCGACCATGCCATTCTTGCAGTCTTTAGAGAAATTTCATGTTTTAAATATTACATAGTCTCGATTCCACTCGATTCAAACCAACGTACAGAGATTTTCAACTTCTCACTTCAAAAGGTGTACAAACATTTGGCCGTCAGACCCTGAACGCAGAGGATTGATAGAACAAGAGCTAAGCTTATTTAAAACAGTTGTAAAGTGATAGGTTTTACAAAATTATAATGTTATATTTTAAAAACAATACTGCTTTGGTTACCAAACAAGTGTGATATTACCTACATTGAAAATAATGCTGTAAAACATATATTCTGTGTTAATATATTGCCCATCTGATAATTCCTTGTCAATCAATTAAATAATATAACATGATACAATTGTTACGGATATGTAAATCTAAAAATCTAAAAATTGATTGAATTAATGACCTATACACATTATACCTTGTACACTATGTACAATGGAAAGCATCAGGTACACTCCCACATAAATATTATCAGCAAAATATTCAAATGCCATGATGTTCAGTTTAATACAGACTGTACAACCTATTTACATATTTATATATCAAACCTTTAACATAGATATGTGAGGCTTTCTTTCATCACACTTTGATGGACAGCAACCTCCAATCAACTGGCAAATGCTTCTTGGTATTGGGTTAAACAATGGCTGAAATAATTTAAACATGAATCCATTTTACATATAGTATACACACTAATGCCACTCAAGCATCAAGGAAAAGAACTTCCTATATATTTGAAATTAATGTATTAATGTATAAATCAATCTTATACAAATTAAAAGTATGGTAACATTTTTGCACATGGAAACCTCTAAGGTTGATTTAATACTTAGGGAAATAAAGCATATACTAAATATACAAAGTGTTATTCCTCAGAAAATATGGTGTATGTATGTATTTAACAGTAAAAATGTTGTGTCAGTCTGAATGAAACAGACCTTGACAGAAGGGAAATACATTGACACGCTTCTGCTCTCTCGAAGCAATCAGCACCTTGCTAAAGACAACTTTCAAACAAGCTAACATTTCTTTTTGTAATATTCTATTACATGTACCAGATAATGTCAATGACATTATTGGGATTGACAATGTTGGCGTAAACAAGTCACATTTTATGTCTATTTGCAGTACATGTCGCACACCAGAAGACAATGAGAACACACAACTCAATCAGACATTCAGATCTGTGGTCATTTCTTGGAAGATTTCTTCAGAATGAAAACATCCTGAAGCAACTCTGTCGCTGATGAACGAATGTTCTGATCTCTGGAATGGAACAATGTTTACCTGATTACACATTCATTGATGTCAGAGAGAAACCACTGCACATTTTACACAGAGACACTGTCAGAAACATCACATGGGTGGATACACTACATTCCTCCATCATCTCCCAATATCTGGAGAGTTTTGGTTTTACGCCACTTTTAGCAATATTCCAGCAATATCACAGCGGGGGACACCAGAAATTGGCTTCACACATTGTACCCATGTGGGGAATCAAACCCAGGTTTTCAGCATGACGAGTGGACGCTTAACCAATAGGCTACCCCACCACACCCTCAATATGAGGAGCACACAAATGTCAGTCATGTTTAAAATACCTAGAATAATTTTTTTCTCGATTCCACTTTTTGTAAGCAAATTAGCGTGACTTTTCTTCCTCTAGCACAAAAAATAATCAATCTGACAGAAAGGTAAAGTAATTCAAATTCCCACATTCTTTCAGAGCTGAATAAGCTTAATTGCATGGGGATCTCACATAAAGAAAGCAGTGTTGAGATTTGTACCTTGTGAAAATACAAATATAATTAATACACAAAAACAAAGATTTACCTTGTGAGGCACTTCATGACAAACTCTCTGGCCTCAGGTGAGAACCTGTCCTCTGGTAAAGTAGGAACCGGCCTGTCCGATCCAATAGCAAATATGGCAGCCATAGGGTTCATGTCCGACCTAAACATAACATATCTGACATCACAATATTGAATAATCATTTCCTGAATATTTATTACTTCTGCTCCATTCTTAATCCTTACATGACCCATTCAGCAATGTTCCATCACTTAAGTACTGAAACCTTGGATTGCGTAGTTTGATGCTCATGATGTTGATCACTTGATTGTCTGGTCCAGACTTGCCTATTTACAGACCGCCGCCATATAGCTGGAATATTGCTGAGTGCAGCATTAAACAACTAACCAATCAACTGAAACCTTTGGTAGGAAACCAGTGGTTGATAACATGAGCAACAATGAACGTTGTTGGGGTGACATAACACGCCATCAGTCTGGTCACAGGCTGTACCTACATCGGTGAGGGTGCCACTCTTCTTCTCAAGGGATTCATCATTCAATATTATTTGTCTTGGCATCCAGTTGATGAACTCGTAAGTGATATCAGTGTACATGGCTGGTGTAAATTTGACTGGGATTTTAACACAGAACGTATGACCCTGCTTACTCTAAGACTTATTAATATTTGAAATATTATCAAATATTTTATTGAATTGTTACACTTTGCTATTAAATTAAGTTGAAAACACTGAAATATTGGCATCCTTGAGGGAACTAGATAATTGTTTCATGTCATCAAGCATACTGCAATACGTCATCAGGAATACCGAGTAACAGACCTCGGCATCTAACATACAAAGAGAAGTTTTGGCATCCTCATTATTAGTTATACAAAAGACAACGGAGACTGACAAGAATATATCGTAGACATTTAGTGTATATATTAAAGAATACTTGAAATACTAGTATACCATGGATTCTACTCACCAAGGTGGTTTCCTTGTGGCCATCTCAAACACAGTGCATCCTACACTCACCTGAATAACAGAATTCATGGCAAAATAAAAACATCTTTTAACAGTCAATGAGCATAGAGAAGCTATATCCAAAGCACCAGTGGTCAAATGTATGTCCACCAGGTTTTCGATCAGTGTATCACAATCGTATCGTTTCCTTGTCTGAACCGGTAAAACCGGTAAACTGGGGGCAGCCCTAGATTTTACTCACCAAGGTGGTTTCCTTGTGGGTGCATCCTACACTCCTGAATAACAGAATTGAAAAACATCTTTTAACAGTCAAGCATAGAGAAGCTACATGCACCGGTGGTCAGTACCACAAGGATTCCAATCCTGAATGAAGACCCTAATGGTTCGATTCCCCACATCGGTTCGAATACAATGTGTGAAGCCCATTTCTGGTGTTCCCCGCCGTGATATTGCTGGAATATTGCTAAAAGCGGCGTAAAACCAAACTCACTCACTCACCAATCCCGAATGGGAATCAACCCAACAAAAGTACTAGAATTTGTACCATACTAGGACAGTGTAATACCAAATATGGCATATGCTACATTTGACCACTTTCTAAATGGCATTGTGTCATCATAGCTTTCGATTGTGGGAGCCATGCCAATTTACCCCATCAGAGGGGTACACAACGTCCGCAGTCTAGATTACCAGTTGTCCGACTTCCATTTTTGTGGAAGCTGCGGTGGCTGAGGGGGTTAGGTGGCTGACTTTGTGTGATGGCGATTAGGTGCCTGACTCTGAGGGTGTGGGTTCCAATCCCAGATGGGACTCAACCCAATAAAAGTACTAGAATCTGTACTTTAGGAAGAAAGTGTAATCCAAATATAACATATGTTACACAAAGCGGCCTTAGCGCTAAGGTTATGATAACTCCCATGTTTCAACACAGACTGTCAGTTCTCTAAGAATGGTTTGTGGATTTTAACATTGCATTCAGTGCAGTTAAATATCGCGATACGTATCGTATCGTGACATAGTGTATCATCCCAGCCCTACTAAGCATTACAATATATCTGTGTTAGTCCTGTTTTCTCTCCTGACACTGCTGCAGAGTTTTGGGCTTAGGCCTATTAGCTGGTCTTGATAAAAAAATATTTTGTATCATTAGAAAAAAGCTGAAAATTTACAATTCAACCATGAATTTAGAAGATTCTCAATTCTGATTGGTCAGTCAAGGTATCAAATAAAAATTACAACGTCTGATTGGAACAACTGATTTGATAGCAATATGATCGCATGTTTGGTTAAAAAATAAGCACAGTTTTTTCAACAGGTAACCTAGCTCTACACTGAAAAACAGCAGTTTTAGCTCACAAATGTCCTTTGGTTGAAGTATACCCTCCTTAGTAACCCATTCAATCCAGGAAGAAATCACTCACCATATATCCGACTTCTTGCCATGACCAGTCTCGTTGACCACTTCTGGCGCCATCCAGTAAGGAGTGCCCTTCATGGATTTGAGGATCTGGCTCTGGCTCATGCTTAGGTTGATGCATAATCTCTTGGCACAGCCGAAGTCAATCAGTTTGATGTCCCCATTGGGCATCAACATCACATTGCCTCCTTTGATGTCTCTGAAGAGAGAAACATTTCAACTTGTAATGGATCAAATTTTTATTTTAAAGATTTTTTTTCTATTCTGGCACATTCTATTTCTGATACTTTTTTGCTCTCAATAATCATGACCCAGTTGAAATCTACTGCTCATCATTTGCTTAAGACCACTTGACGAACAATTACTATGTTAGAGGTATTGTGTGAATGACTATATTTCAATGTAATCAGCATTCTGTGGGCTATTCATAGCAAACAATATATGGTATTGTCAGCTTGCTTGTTCTCAACCACCTAATTCTCAATCTGTATCTGTTTCTTGACAACCTATACTATTGATATTTAATGAGTGAGTGAGTGAGTTTAGTTTTACGCCGAACTCAGCAATATTCCAGCTATATGACGGCGGTCTGTAAATAATTGAGTCTGGACCAGACATCCAGTGATCAACAGCATAAGCATCGATCAGCGCAATTGGGAACCGATGACATGTGTCAACCAAGTCAGCGAGCCTGACCACCTGATCCCGTTAGTCGCCTTTTACGACAAGCATAGTCGCCTTTTATGACAAGAATGGCTTGCTGAAGACCTATTCTACCCCGGATCTTCGCGGGTCTGATATTTAATGACTAGGACAGAGTAGAAACATAAAAAAAATCAAATTTATAGTGATTGTTATTTTCTTATATTATATATTCAATTCCAAGAACATATAATACAATGTATCAGGCAAATCGTCTACACCAAAACATTGCATATAACAAAGTTGTGTATCCATAAACTATCCCCTTGCTTCAGATCACTTAGTGGATACTCCCTACTGACTACAGATCACACAGTGAGTTCTTTATGAGTACAAATCATTTCCACTCTAATTATCTCCAGTACACTTTATCATAGGTTCCTACAAGTAAGATGAGTTTAACATCCCTTTGAACAGGATTGGGTGAGTGAGTGAGTATGGATTTACGCCGCTTTTAGCAATGTTCCAGCAGTATCATGGAGGGGGACACCATAAATGGGCTTCACACATTGTACCCATGTGGGGAATCGAAATCGGGTTTCCGGCGTGATGAGCGGGCGCTTTAATCACTAGGCTACCCCACCGCCCCTGAACATGATTGGACACTGTTATGAACATAACTATGGAAGAGAGCAGGTTAAAGGTGCTTATCACTTTGATGAATCTGGGATTTCAAGCCCATATCAAACCATGAAACAGATATTAAGGGAAATATCTCTGCATAGTAAACTACAGTGCATTCGACAGGTTCAGCCTTCTAGTTCCAGGGAGAGACTGCTCACCTGTGTATGACATCATTGTCATGAAGGTATTCCACACCCTCTAGGATCTGTCGAGTGTAGCGTCGGAACACTGACTCATCCAAGGCTCCGAACCGAGCCAGGATGCTGGCAATAGATCCACCTGGTACAAACTGCATGAAGATGCTGACTGTGTAGTCCTCAAAGCTTGTGCCCATGTAGCTGAAAACCAGAGTGTTGATTAACTCATTAAGGCCGAGAGATGCTACCTTTAGTGTCAATCAGAAGAAGTATTTAAAGTGTTTTAATAGCAGTTGCTAATCATTATCATAGGCTTATACAGCGTTTGGCAAATGAACGCATTATGATGTTTTTACAGAGGTAAGTGTCTGGTATTCTTCAATGGGAATGGATACTAAAAATACTTCGTATGCACATTGATTGAATTAAATGTAATGCTTTAGCGGTTACTGAAGATTATATTTTCTTCAACTTCCTAATAAATAGGAAACAATATACAAAATTTCGAGGAGATAGAAAGAATTCAAACACAATAGAATAGTTTGAATCTACTTTTTAGGTATTATTACGTTGTCATGTTTCATATAATGAAATATAACATGTAAACACAAATAATTATACATCCAAGCTCGAAAACATTAGACATAAATTAACTTACCAATTTAAAGCTTACTGAATTGTAAGTAGTTATTTTCCATAATCTAAAGTTGATAATGTTACCTAATTGAATATAAAGTGATCAGTCGTGCCTTTGCATCGAATATATATACATGTCAGTGTTATTACAACAATGAAATCTTTTACTACGTTTGTTACAAAACACAGTAAGTTGGAAATTCAAAAAATTATTAGACATAAACAGAAGTAATACCATAAATTATTACATGTAAACCATAAAATGGTATTTTAAGCATTTTTGTTCAAGCTGTTGAAAGTTTCATGTTGATTTGAATTGTCAGTTTTCTATGCACTTTACATGAGCATTGTGTAAAACATTTGTATTTGATCTCTGCAATTATCAAATCCGGTGTAATTATCATGTGTATCAATGAACTCAGTCTCTATTGATCCATCATCAATAAAAGCTGGATAGTAAATCTGTTACGGTATCGATACACATGCGTCTAATCATTCAATCAGTGTACAGTAATGAGATAATTGAAGACCTCTTTCGACCTTGAAATAACAGTCTCCGGTAGAATGCGTATGTAGTTACGTCCTTGTTGAAAGGTTTGTCCCGTGACAAGTGTAAAATAAACAGATGCGCTATTATATCATTGGACAGCTTGCTTTATGAAGTCACGCCCCTCTCTGTAACGTTTATGCATACATGCACATCTGTAATCTTATGAACCTCGTTTGCATTCAGTATAAATATAGGCACCCCCATCTTCATAAATATTTGGGGGGATTCAACTGCAAGTTTATACAATATAATAATTCAGTATAGTGTCACTTTGTGAATTCTGTAATACGTGTACTTTAGTTTGGATATTCATTTGTATCATGGTGAAGATTATATTTACATGTACAGCAAACCATTATGTTTTATGTACTAGTTGTATATGAAAGTAAATACTATCTCTACTCAATGGTTGGATTTCAATCGCTTTGTTTTATCTAATATCGAAAAACACTAAAATGTGTTTTCGATCTCTGAGGACAAATTAACTCGCCAAAGTGTCTATCTACTCCTATTTGTCTTTTGTGTATATTTCATACATCGTTACCAGTATGTATGTTTACAAGACACAAACTGTTACATGATAGCTTGAGTTGATAAAGCCGAAATCCAGCATATCGACTGGTCAATGATATAGCCAATAATCAATCTCTATCCAAGCTGTTGAGTGACCAAATGTGCTCTTCAGAAATTTCGCCAACGCGCCATCACCTGTCCTTTCCTCTGTGACAGGTATCTCATGATACGATTGGTCATAGATAACAAATGACCAGCCACTATATTGAACAGTTGAGATACTGAACGTTCTATTCAGGAAATTTGATGACGCCCTATCACGTGACTCTTTGTTTTATGTCTATGCAAGGAATATGTAGTATACATTTTTCATATGTATGTTCGTATGATCATGTATGTTTTCTGCACTGAATCTAGATGAAACAAAGTGCCAAGATATGAATGTGCTCTATGTTAGTCACAGACTAGTGTAATAGTACTTTCCTTAAAATAATCTGTATACACTAGAAATGTATCGGCAAAAACGCTAATTTCGTAGAAGATTATAAAGTATATAAGTAAATTCTTCTTTACAGTATTGCATTGTCAAAGATGTTTTGTGAAATCAAACTTCACACAATGATATGGGAGAGAGAATTTGTATGTCTCATCTCTTATATACAACGAATACATGCATATGTTGATAAAATATAAATGTACAAGCCGCAAAAGGTCTACATGAGAAACTTGCAATAAAATTATATAAAACGTTGCAGTACATGATATGTATTCACTCCTGCTTTCTTTCACCATGTATCTTTACAACACAATTAAACAATCAGGACTTGTTTGTACGACTAGACAGTTTCCTGTCATCCCCGAAATCTGCCAGGGAAATCAGGTGTGATTAGCACTAATTAGTCTAGGCACACGAGTCGGGCAATCAGCGAGGGGTTCCAGGTGTTGAGTAGTGAAGTGGCTCTCGGGCTTAATGAGTTAATGTAAGAGTCATCACTCTAACAATAAGAATGTGGACTGTAAATATTTGATCTCTGACAGACAAACCAGTGGTTGATATAATGAGCAAAATCCCACACCATTGTTTTCGGCATATTTTGAAGCATAGTTTAAACATACGTAGGGTCTTTACACGTAGGTTTGGATGCAGGGTTTTACCTAAAAGGATTGAAAGAAGGAAGCATCTTCTGGATTTCCAATCCAGATTCATATTCAACTCATTAGCTGGTAACAACTGGTAAGGGTAAATAGTGCTGGGATTCCACTCACCCCACGATGTTCTTGTGTCGGAGGTTCTTGAGGAGCTCCACCTCCTCCTGCACCTTCTCGTACTCTCTGTGAGCCTTGTCCATGTCTGTCGTGTTGAGGTCAATCTGCTTCACAGCAATCAGTTCTCCTTCGTTGGTCAGACCACACCACACCTACACACAGGTAACATAAGTATCACACTCTATCAATTGACCCAGCTAACAATTCCTATTCACTGGTCAGACAAGGGCATATCTCATAACAGAATAAAGGTGGGCTCAGTGATGTGATGGTATGAATGAATGAGTGAGTGAGTTGGGTTATACACCGTGTTTAGCAATATTCTAGTGGCAGGACACCAGAAATGGGCTTCACACATTGTGCCCAAGTGGGGATCGAGCCCACGTCTTTAGCGTGATGAGCGAATGCTTTAACCACTAGGCTACCCCACCACCCTGATGGTGTGAAGGTATTTCTTTCAAATGAGTTATTCATAATAAAGCAATGAACATGATTAAAGAACAGTAATGCAGAATCAGATTTTTCAAACCTGATATTATCCAAGAGAAAACAGATAAAATGTCTGGAAGTATCACAATACACAACGAAAACTCATCAGCTAAATTATGATCAAGTTGAATATGCATATTCAAAGTGTGTCAGTACAGAACAATTAGAAACACAGGAAACCTCTAGTTATTTCAGAGGGATTAACATGGCTGAAACTTACTGTTCCGAAAGCTCCTTTGCCAAGAACATTTCCTTTCTTCCACTGAATTGTCTCCTCAATACTGGACCCAATACTGTCTTCCGTGCAAGTACTGCCTGTTTTGCTTCCTCTGCGGCCACTCAGTCGACTGCACAGGGTCTGCAGGAGATAACATTTCACATTACATGAGGCCAAAGATATGACTGGCATACTGCTACTGTCAACTGAAAGAGACTTGAAACCAGTTTTCGTTATACACACATCAATCTACTCCTCAGATATCAGTGTCTGAAGAATGGTTTCTAAGGTAACTGATATTCAGGACTGTTAACTGCCAATGCTGATTTGGAGAATGGTTTCCATGGTTACAATACTCAGGACCATTCATCCACCAATTTCTGATGTGGAAAATGGTTTCCATGGTAACAATACTCAGGACTGTTCATCCACCAATTTCTGATGTGGAGAATGGTTCTAAGGTAACCAATACTCAGGACTTTTCATCCACATGTGTCTGAAAGAAAGGTTTCCAAAGAAAGCAGTACACAGGACTCTTCATCCACCACTGAAGATGGTTTCCTTGGTAACCAAGACACCACATTCATCCACCAGTGTCTCAGGTGGAAGATGGTTTCAAAGATAACGAGTGGACGGGAGGCTCGTGGCACAAGTGTCTCTGGTAGACACTGGTATCTAAGATCTTTAAAACATAGCACTGATTGTCAACAATAACACAAAGACAGACTGCCAAGTCATAAGACTCCTTATGCATGAAATCTCTAGTGCACTTAATATGACAAAAGCATTTCACTTTATGCTGTAGGTAATGACATACTGGCAAAGAAACTACACATTAGAGTGTTAGACACTTGGTTTTGCCACGAAGTGCTGTTTGAGAGGTGCTCTCCTGCTGGAACACCTCACCTCTCCATCTGATGTGTTGGCAAGATTAGGATCAGGAACTTCAGCAGCTACTGCTTCAGACAACTTCTCCAGAACTTCAATCTCCTGTTGGACTATGGATGGCTCATCGTGCTGCTGAAAGGTAACAAGTGAGTTTGGTTTTACACTGTGTTCTGGAATATTCCACCATCACACAGGGAGGGGAGCAGGAAAATTGGGATTCATGCAAGAAATTGAAACCTGGTTTTGTTATGAATACACCATGCCATTTAGAAAGTGGTCAAATGTAACGTATGCTATATTTGAAATTGCACTTTCTCAGTGAAGTACAGATTCTAGTACTTTTTTCTTAGGTTGAGTCCACTCTGGTATTCAAACCCACGCTCTCAAAGTCATCCACCTAATCACCAGCACACAAAGTCAGCTATCTAACCCACTCACAAAATGAAAGTGGGAAAGTGGTTTATCCACTCATTAGGCAATTTCCCACTTTCTTCGAATACACCTTTCAAACATTACATCGTGAGGGAGAGATAATGGTTTTACACTGCTTTATAGCAATACACCAAGACGTAGTTGACATTAAGATAGGCTTCATATATGGTACCAATGATGAGATCAAACTCAGGTCTTTGGTATGATAAGTGAACACTCCCATCAGAAACCCAGCGAAAGAAATTGGATTTATTTTCACTTGACCACGAAAATGACCTGCTACATAGTTGTCTTTATCTAATGGTTCATGAAAATGGCCACAGGAAAATTCTTCCTTGAATTGAACTTTTCTTTGACAAGAATAGTAAGTTTTAAGTTTATTTTGAAACTCTGAAAAATAATGCATTTACCTCAACAGACGGCTGGTTTCCTTGCATTCTTGATGTGCTAGCCTTCATCTCATGAAACCTCCCTTTACGAAGACCTCCTGCTGATGAAGGTCGCCCTGAAGGAGGCTTATGAGTCATGCTTGGACCATCAGAGCTGCCTTCAGGTCTAGGCACAGAGTTGTGTTTTCTGGGTGTGTCCTTTGACAAGCGTACAGACCCTCCAGCACCTCCTGCATGGAGCTCCATATGTCTGAAAGAGTTCATGACCTTGGCAAGCTGCTTTGCCTCTTCATCAGCATCTATCATGGCCTTGACCTTTGAAGGTTCAGCACCAGCATCTATCATGGCCTTGACCTTTGACCCAAGGTTGAAATTTTCTGCATGGAATACTTTGAGTAGGTTAGGGTTAGTGTCCTGTGCATAGCTGTCAGAATGTCTCACATCATCCTTATCAGCAGTTTTGGCATGGAACATCGACTCATTATTCTGAAGTCTCCTGAGAACATTTGTGTCTGCTTCAGTCAGCGTACTATTTAAAGATCTATTATTGTTGTTCGACCTTAGAGTCGATGATAGCGAGTTTCCTGTGGCGTTCAGAATTTCTTCGATAGCCTCATCTATCGCTTCATCTTCCTTCTTAGACTCAGAAAACTTTCTTTCTCGTCTAACATCTTTGCCATGATCATCATTATCCTTCACCACAATTTCCATGGTTTCATCTTTCTTCGGAGATGCAGACTTCTGAGGTTCCTCCTTGTGAAGGTTCAGGTTTAGGTTTTCTTTGCTGACTTTCCCATTTGAAGTGCCTCCTTTGATGCCAGAACTACTTGCTTTGCTCTTCACCACTGTCTTTCCTGGAACAGTTTTCTTAGAAGCTGACCCAGGGCTTTCTGTTTTACCTGCAGCCTTAACTCTGGCTTTAGTTGACTCATGTGTCAAAACCTCTTTTCTCAAAGATCCTGATCTCCGGATTCTTGAATCTGCTGAAGTACAGGAATCATTCTTTGCTTGTCTCAAAGCTTCAGCTTGTTGACTGGACAGTGACTCACCAGCTGTGATGCCCAGCATCTTATTCAACTGGTCCTCCTTCACAGTCTGATCAAACCTATTGATAGCTGCCTGAACACTATGTGACACAGAAGGAGATTCAGGTATTGGAGTCAATTTACCCAACATTATCTCCTTGTGGAGAGCATTTGTTATGTCATCAAATTCATTTGTGTAATTCCCAGCTTCTTCTTCAGCACTGTTGGCTGCAAAAGATGTCGGATTGGTCACAGGTGCAGGAAACACTTCTTGGGTCATGTCAAGATTCATTGGAGGAAAGCCATCATGACTCATCACAGGAAGAGGAATTCTGACTTCCGCTGCTGGTTTTATTTCCTGGAACCTTGGTGTGCCAGGGCTCACTGCACCCTCAGTTCTGGCAGTTAGAAGTTTAAAGCAGTTTTCTTCAGGGTTGATAACTTCAATGTCAGAATCCTCTGAGTCAGAACAAAACAGATTAGCTGCAACTTTCACATCAGATGTGTCATTGCAACCTGCTGCAACATGCCATCCAATGCCAGATATAAGAGCTACATCCGCTTTTGCTGCATTGGATTTCAATGCTTCAGTTTCCAAATCCTTTTTACGTTTTCGACCAGACTTCACCCTTTTGCTAGATTTGCCACTTTTAACACGTCCGTTTTCTGACTGCTCACTGGTTTTAGAATCTTGACTCTTTGCACCTCTTCGACGACCAGAACTTTGTCTTTGACCACCCGAAACTGGTCTTTTAGTGTCCTTAGTTTTCTTAGCACTTTTCACATTCCTGTTTTTCTTAAGCTTACATGTAGCATCTTTAGAGGATTTTCCAATGACAAAACCATCAGAAATTCCTCCTTTTGCAAACCCGAAATTGTTATGGTCATCACCTAATGTCCGTGATGTAATAACAATCTCAGGTTGTACCCAGTTCTCAAATGGATTCACTATGACTGGTGTTTGCATTACAACAGCTGACCCCATACAGCCAGGTTCATATATATGAGGCTTAGGACCTTGCCCTGGTAAGGGAGATTCTCACAAGAGGTTCTTCATTTTCTGGACATGGTTTAACATATCTCCAACTGTCTGATTTTCTCATGTTATTATCCTTATGCTTGATATTGCTCTTAACGTTCAGCTGGCTATCGGAAGGAGATCTAAGAGATTTTATTGGACTTTCCAACTTTGGCACAGGTTTTGGTGTAAGCACCTTGGCAGCACCCTGAGAACTCGAGTCAGACTTGAGTTGGTTTGGTGATGAGACAGAACAGGAAGGATTTGATGTAGTTTGCACACGGTTGCTGGAAACAGCAATAGAATGCTTAGTTGGACAAGACACAGTGTTACACACAGAGTTGGACTCTTTCATAGATGTTTTACACACAGACACAGTTGTTGAAGCAACTGATTTTGAAGGAACAGATACTGAGGCTGATGTTGCTGAAGGTGTGGCTCTTGTCTTGGATGAGGCTGTGTTTGGTTTTTGTGGAGGAACTTTGGCTTTTATTGCTGATGACTGCACTGAAGATGCTTTGTCTGGTTGACTGGGGTAGAATTTCCTCTGGATACACACCTTACTGCAGGTTTGGTGGATGTTGATGTTGAATTTATTTCTTTAGTAGAAGAGGTTTTTGAAACTGATAATACATCCTTGGGAAGATTTTCTGATACGGAATTAACAGTTACTGTCACTGCATTTGTGTCATGTGAACTGGGAGGAGGGTTAATTGAACAGTTTTTGCAGTCTGCTGCTGAACTTATTACTCCAACGCTTGCTGCTTTGGATGATGTGGACCCAGTGCTGGAGCGCAGTGGAGATGCTTTTTGGTTGACACTACTGCCTTGAGGTGTCTTAGCATTTCTAACAATCTTCGGTACATTCTGATCTCCTGTAGATGACCTAGCTGAAGAAGTACTTTGAGCTTTCTTTGAAATACCACAAGAGCTACTCACTCTTTGATTGCTACCCTGTTTTGTATTTGGCTGTCTTGTACTGGCACTGTTCATGGTATTTGGCTGATTTGACTTCAGATTTGAATCTGTCACTGCACAAGTTTTATCACATCCACCACTTACAGAAGAAGCTTTGACAGAATTATCACATTCTTTCGGGACATCAGCATTTTCATTATCTGGCACAACACATTTATTCATATTATGATCCACCCCTGTCTTGGAATTGTTCTTATTTGAACCAGTGTTTCTATTTTTGGATTGCACCGCAGAATCCAAACTTTGCTGCTTATAAACTGGCTTTTTCAAAACATTTCCCGATACGCCCACTTTCTGCATTTCAGACAATCTCTCATCTGATTTTGATCTACTGGGCGTGTTTGATAAGCTCCTACTCCGAGTGACTTTATTCCGGAATCGTTCTCCTACATTATTGTTAGGACCACTGATACTGTAGCGACCAACTTTAGACAATGGGGAATGATACTCCTTGACACTTTTCCCTGTTTTGTTGAGGATGAGGATGTTGACACTGTTATCCCTTGGGGAAGAGGACAGGCTGCTGGCACTGGACGTGGGGTCACTCCCTGATGAGTGGAGGAGGGGGTCCTTGGGCCGACTCTCATCGATGACAAACTCCTCCTTCAGCAGTGAGCGACTTCGCAACAGCTCATAGGGGTTGCTGAGAGCCAGACGCACCTGCTCGTTTGGGATCCTGGGCAGATCTTCATCTGACCTTGGAGAACATTCCTGAAAGAGAAGGTGATGATGTACTCTCTTCATAGTGGTAACATCAGTGTTTGAACTATTTAAGAAAACTCGCACCTGATTTATGCTCCTTTGTGCAGCCTACATTTTGAAAGGGCAGGGAAAGATCCTGCCTCCTGAAGAGGGTCTGTCATATTTTGACAGAGAAATAATAACAGTGGAAAGATCTGATTTAAATGAAATCCACCTTCTTCAATTCTAAATTTGAGAATACATTTGACTGCAACACTTAGTTTAGCCGTGTCCAAATAAACAGGCACCCTTTTTAAAAAGATATGATACATTTTTTTTTATTAATTTCAGGCTCCTGAAAATGTTTTATTCATATCACTCATTTAACTTGCTTAAACCGTTGATAGATTTGGTGTGCTACAAACATATACATCATCATCATCATGGAACTACTGGGGTGGAATCTACACATCCTGGTGATTACCTTGGATGAGTCCCCTTCCTTTGTATTGTGGACAAGTTTGGCATCTAGGATGCTGTAGGACTTCTGGGTGATGAAGGTCGGTGTGGGTGGCAGCACATTGGAGGAGTTGGGATAAAGGCTGATCAGCTGTGCTGGAGGCGAACCACGGGTTGTGTCTTAACAAAACAAAAACATAAATTAACTTCATCACCCTCGATAGTCATATTGATGGAGTTGGGATGGAGGCTGATCATCTGTCCTTGAATCAAGCCACGGTTTGCATCTTGTTAAGTTGAACAAAACGAAAACATAAACTAACTTCACCATCCTCAATATTCATATTGATAATTGATGCTCTCAAAGCAATTATGAACTGATCATTATGATCTTACCTATGTCGACAAAAACAGCACTGGTGGTGGTACGAGGTGTGAGGACTTCAGGAATGGTTGTGGGGATGTTTAGATTGGTCATCTCCCTCTCAAGCGGAGTCCGTAATGGGGTCATCCTCATTTGTTCATCAAGGTCATACTCTTCACTGTTTGACAGTGACCTTCCTGGAGACAGAGATCAGTGATGGATCCAGTACTTACCCAAGGGGATTTGCTGGTTGTAGGCTTCTTCAGCATCATGCAGTTAACACATACATATTATACAGTTAACAAATACATATTACACAAAGAATGCGTTTCATATACTGACCCATGTTTGGAATCAAACCCAGTCCTTAAGATGAGAGAGTTAGTTTTTCAAAATATTCCAGTTTTGTGGCGGTCTGTTTCAAAAACCGGCTGGAGACACAAAGAAATGACGTGTTCACATACTGACCCAAGTTTGGAATCAAACCCAGTCCTTAAGTTGGACAAGTAGATACTTTAACCAATGAACCCCTCATGATAAGGACTGTAATGTGTGTTATAACACCTCTACATCAACAGTTGAAACAATGACAACAGTATGACAACATGTGAAATGACTGCAATTAACTTAAATCAAATATTAATTGAATTAGACTAAATTTTATTCATACAGTTTCAAAATGAGGAAGAGGACAATTAACTGGTAATCACAGTAGGGAACACCAGTAATAGAGTGCCATGTATAGAATTGAACAGACTCCATCAGCTAGGATCAGGATAAAACAGTACCACAAATACAGTGCATAGAAGCTAATAAAAATCATTGTTATTTACCTCTCCGTGGAAGATAGTTATCACATGATTTGGCTAAGTCAGCAAGAATTGGTGGGATGAAAGGATCTGACCCTGTTCTGCGATGTCTCCCCCGTGACGGCATCTCATGTGGTACTGGAGCATCTCATGATGATTATGTACTGAGACACCCTGCAGAGGAAGCAGTGATGATTAGTGTCATGAAACCTGAACATCATATAGCTGACAATCAGCATGTAAATATCAGAATGCATGTACAACATCGTGTTCACCCTAGAACATTCCCCATGGTATTTATCATATCTAAGTCCCATCTCTTGACTCTCATTTCTTTGTTAACACAGTCCTCAGCAATATTCCAGTATAATCTTGACTACACAAACCGGAGACGAAAAGCATGGGCAGCCAATCAGTCATGTCCACCATATCTCAAAGAAGACAGGTTGGTGGAGACCTGGAAGCCCCATGATGGCTGTATGTTACTGACTGTTACCTGTTGTTCAGTACACAAAACTCCTCCTGTGTCACATCACTTGTTGACGTCGGAGTGATTCGTTTCCTCTCACTTATATTTCCTGAAACAGAAAATATGTACTGATTCTATTTACTGAATAGAAAAAGCTGAAATTTCAATGATTTCAGACTGGGTTGGGTATGAACATTGGATCCATGTTGCATGTCATGTGGAATAAAACATAAAAGAAGAAGAAATGAAAGTCTTATCTCAGTTACCTCAGACATAGGACAGCAATACAACCAAAGTTTCAGATAAGTCGAACATAGCTTCAATAGCCAATGTGTCCATCTAACAGGCTCTCTCTCCCTCTCCTCTCCTCTTAGTGGTTAAAGCGTTGGCCCGTCACGCCGAAGACCCGGGTTCGAATCCCCACATGGGTACAATGTGTGAAGCCCATTTATGGTGTCCACCGCCGTGATGTTGCTGGAATATTGCTAAAAGCGGCGTTAAACCAAACTCAGTCAGTCAGTCTCTCTCTCTCTCTCACAGGAGAGTCAGGCATCTCTTACCCAGCTTGAGAGACTTGGACCTCCTGACACCCCCAGGCCGGAGATCCTCCAGAGATCTCCTGACATCTACATCCTCTAGGGAGCTCTTCCTCCCGGTCGGGGACAGTGGGGACACACGGTCAGGGCTGGAGTGGGGACCTGATGACCCGGTCCCTACCTTGGGCAGAGTTGATGTTTTGGCACTTCCTCTTAAAGTCCCAAGTCTTCTAACATTTTCTCTGGAATCAAGATTTACGTCACTATGTTTCTTATGATTCAAGTGGCTAAAGAACACGGTTCCGATTTATAGATCCAGTCTCTGACCTGACATCTAATGACCATCAGAACATTGCAGACCCCTAGTTAGTAAGCCACACATACCCACTTCATCAGATAACAAGGGTCATCAATACAAATACATGGTTGGAAATAGTGATTGATGAATGCCATCCAGACAAACCACATCACCAACTTCGCTCACACAAAACATGTCAGTACTCCTTCAAAATTCTCAGTACACCTCCACTTACAATGACATGATGTGTAAGTACACACTCACACCCCAAAAGTTATCTGGAGCCCTGAACAAACATGGAATGCTGAGTGCCAGTTCTAACCCGGATCTTCAGAGGAGTCTACTATGACAACTTACTTTGGTGTTGGTGTTGGTGTTGGTGTGAACCTGCCAGAATCAATCTCCTTCATCATCTGTTGTTCTGCTATCCTCGCCTTGTCAGCATTGCTCAGAGATCGACTAAGTGTTGGCCCTGAGCGAAACAGACATTCCACAGTTATACAAGACGCAGGACATTTCTAGGAACAACAGGATCGGTACTCATACTGTCATTATTGGACTTGAAATAATAATGATATGTTCAGCCCTCTCTGAGAGGATAGGAAACATCAAGCCTGGAAGCAGCTCTAAGATAAATAAAAGTTTCTAGATGCCAGGGCAGATCCTGCTATATGAAAAAACAACTGACAACTCTGTACTTACTTGACACAGGGCCAGCCTTGGATGGTAGAGGCGATGTTATCAGACCCTGAATATCAAAATTAAGTTCTCGTACAACATTGGTTTATAAACAATCGTCCAAGGTAATTCTTTCTAAGGTAGAAAGATAAATATAAATTTTTCTTGCTTAAATGAAAAGTACATAAATTTAGCATTGCAACAACAATGCTCATGTATTTTCTGTACTAACTTTATGTTCATTTCAAAACAGGAAGTAAACAAAATAACATGCGCCTGAATTTCAGACAAAATACTCTTTGTAATAGTCATTGCTGCATTGTTGTAGAATAGGAGTTATCTCCCTTACATAATTCTTTATCTCACACTTGAATGCTTTGGTCACAAGACAAATTCCCTTACATCAAAAATAACTTCTCCCTTTCTTCTCTTCCCACTATCCTCCATACGAGATTCGTCACGACTCGGGGCGCGGACAGGTGCCAGTGTGGTCGTCTGTTTCTTGTGCGTCTGCTCCGCCCAGGCCTCCTTCAGAGTTGTCTTCATCTTCCTCGTCTTGGCCAGATCTACAGCGGTCAGTCCACGGTCATCAGTGACGGTCACATCTGCACCTCGCTCCAACAACGCCACCGCTGTCTTGTTGTGGTCATTGTGGGCCTGTAAAACACGACCACTCAACAACCTAGTGAAATACAGTCATCATAGAAGAGAGAGCAAACTGTGGTCATTGTGGGCCTGCAAAACACGACCACTCAACAACTTAGTGAAGGATGGTCATCATAGAGAGAGCAAACTGTGGTCATTGTGGGCCTGCAAAACACGATCACTCAACAACTTAGTGAAGGATGGTCATCATAGAGAGCTAACTGTGGTCATTGTGGGCCTGCAAAACACGACCACTCAACAACTCAGTGAAGGACAGTCATCATAGAGAGCAAACTGTGGTCATTGTGGGTCTGTAAAACACGACCACAAAACAACTTAGTGAAGGATGGTCATCATAGAGAGAGCAAACTGTGGTCATTGTGGGCCTGCAAAACACAACCACTCAACAACTCAGTGAAGGACAGTCATCAAAGAGAGAGCAAACTGTGGTCATTGTGGGTCTGTAAAACACGACCACAAAACAACTTAGTGAAGGATGGTCATCATAGAGAGAGCAAACTGTGGTCATTGTGGGCCTGCAAAACACGACCACTCAACAACTCCAGTGAAGGACAGTCATCATAGAGAGAGCAAACTGTGGTCATTGTGGGCCTGCAAAACATGACCACTCAACAACTCAGTGAAGGACAGTCATCATAGAGAGAGCAAACTGTGGTCATTGTGGGTCTGTGAAACACGACCACAAAACAACTAGTGAAGGACAGTCATAATATAAGAGAGCTAAGTTTATCGCGGTACGCACATAAATACCTTTGTATCGCCTTCATTTAATTTCCGTATGTATCGTGAAATGGAAATCTAGAGACACATGAGGAAAACTCCCCGACAGTAGGAATCACATGATTTGCCATGCAACGTCACTATTTTCGAGTGGCTAAAAACTACACGGTTCCGATTTATATCCAGTCGGACCTGACATTTCGCGCATCACACGGTCGCTCAGTTATTTCTCACGCGTCTTCAAATACAAATACATGGTTGGAAATAGTGATCGATGAATCGTCCAGACAAACCACATCACCAACTCGCTCACACAAAAACATGTCAGTACTCCTTCAAAATTCTCAGTACACCTCCACTTGCAATATGATGTGTAAGTACACTCACACCCCCAAAAGTTATCTGGAGCCCTGAACAAACATGGAATGCTGAGTGCCAGTTCTAACCCGGATCTTCAGAGGAGTCTACTATGACAACTTACTTTGGTGTTGGTGTTGGTGTTGGTGTGAACCTGCCAGAATCAATCTCCTTCATCATCTGTTGTTCTGCTATCCTCGCCTTGTCAGCATTGCTCAGAGATCGACTAAGTGTTGGCCCTGAGCGAAACAGACATTCCACAGTTATACAAGACGCAGGACATTTCTAGGAACAACAGGATCGGTACTCATACTGTCATTATTGGACTTGAAATAATAATGATATGTTCAGCCCTCTCTGAGAGGATAGGAAACATCAAGCCTGGAAGCAGCTCTAAGATAAATAAAAGTTTCTAGATGCCAGGGCAGATCCTGCTATATGAAAAAACAACTGACAACTCTGTACTTACTTGACACAGGGCCAGCCTTGGATGGTAGAGGCGATGTTATCAGACCCTGAATATCAAAATTAAGTTCTCGTACAACATTGGTTTATAAACAATCGTCCAAGGTAATTCTTTCTAAGGTAGAAAGATAAATATAAATTTTTCTTGCTTAAATGAAAAGTACATAAATTTAGCATTGCAACAACAATGCTCATGTATTTTCTGTACTAACTTTATGTTCATTTCAAAACAGGAAGTAAACAAAATAACATGCGCCTGAATTTCAGACAAAATACTCTTTGTAATAGTCATTGCTGCATTGTTGTAGAATAGGAGTTATCTCCCTTACATAATTCTTTATCTCACACTTGAATGCTTTGGTCACAAGACAAATTCCCTTACATCAAAAATAACTTCTCCCTTTCTTCTCTTCCCACTATCCTCCATACGAGATTCGTCACGACTCGGGGCGCGGACAGGTGCCAGTGTGGTCGTCTGTTTCTTGTGCGTCTGCTCCGCCCAGGCCTCCTTCAGAGTTGTCTTCATCTTCCTCGTCTTGGCCAGATCTACAGCGGTCAGTCCACGGTCATCAGTGACGGTCACATCTGCACCTCGCTCCAACAACGCCACCGCTGTCTTGTTGTGGTCATTGTGGGCCTGTAAAACACGACCACTCAACAACCTAGTGAAATACAGTCATCATAGACAAAGTCATCAATATACCCCGCAACTGCAAAATACTCTTTATGAATATGTCTACTAGGTATGATAATGTCAAATGTTTTGGAGGGTATATAGCAAAGTGGAAGGAGAGTACTGAAAGGTTTTTAAGATCTGCTCCAGAAAGGAGCACTACCACCAAATTCAGTTGAAGCCTAACTTGTTGGCATGGAAATGCAACAAGATGACATCCTCATAGTCACAGCCTAAGTCACGTTTCCACGGAAACCGCAAAAAATAGAATTCATATCTGGGTCTAACCATCAAATTGCACATCAATGGATCATGCTTCATGTGTGTACCGTTTGATGAAGCTAGCATATATAGTTTAGGAGATCTGCTCTGGACAAAATGACATCCTCACAGCCTAAGTCACGTTTCCATGGAAACCGCAAAAAAATCATATCTGGGTCTAAACCCCAAAACGCACATCTAGGGATAATGGTGGACATGTGTACCAAGATTGGTTAAGCTATCATGAATAGTTTAGGAGATATGCTTCGGACAAGATGACATCCTCATAGTCACAGCCTAAGCAATGTTTCCATGGAAACAGCAAAAAATAAAACTTATATCTGGGTCTAACCCCCAAAAGGCATATCTAGGGATCATGGTTGACATGTGAACCAAGTTTGGTTAAGCTATCACAAATAGTTTAGGAGATACGCTTTGGACAAGTGTGACGGACGCACGGACGGAACTCGTTTCTATATCCCCCGCAACTTCATTGTTTCAGGGTATAGTAACACCTCTTTATCTATGCTTTGAGCAGTAGATGTCAGGTTAATGATGGCCAAAGGTGACTAAGGTCCTAACACTGCTTTGATGAAACCCAGTAGCAGAGACAAACCGATGAACATGATCACGACTCAGATCTGTTTTGCAAATATTTCAAATATCACAAATTAGTGAACGGGATAATAAGCAAAAAAAACTGCTGCCACGACCATAACACAAGATGTACAGTTAAGTAGTGTGGAGACAAAGGGAAGTAACTGCAACCTATGTTAGATCTCACATATGCAGTATTTCACTTCCAGGGTTCAGTACACTGCATATTTATCAAAAGAAATTTAAAAAAGGATATAAAAGAAGAAATGTGCAGCTGACTTTGTGACGATGATGCCTGAGAACAATGCTATATTTTACAAGACTAAAACATATTTCTTATCACAAAAATATAAAGAAATTTGTAAACACCAATGGAACCTCAAGGAATAAAGATGGCACCAATGACAGCGACACCTACCGTGATGTGCAGAGGAGTGAGACCAGCAAACCCTCTGGAGTTGACCTCTGACCCCCCATCCAGCAGCGCCACCACTACGTTCGTGTTCCCAGAGTGCGAAGCCCAGTGGATCGGCATAAAGTGACGCTTGTCTTCCGCAACTCTGTAAAAAAATTGAAATGTCATAAAACAGTGGTAAATATCCATGCTGACTTCCTGTTCTAATACGATTATTATTTCTTTGCTCACATTGGCTTGTGTCATGATATGATACATTCAGCAGTGAGATGGCGCTCAACACTAGCTTAGTATTTCTGGCTGTGCTCAGAAAGTCAAAACATAGCAATAGATGCAGTCCCTGTCTTTGGTGGAATCCACAAGCACAAGCCATATACTACTGAGCCACCAAAAAAGACAACATTAACTATTCAAAATGAAGCTTATAGCAATACAACAGACAATCACTGCATAGCACCATGATAGACATCTCATGTATCAGGCAACAAACTCACAGGACTGGGCTCAACCAAACACACTATCTGCCTGGCTACCTTAATCTCTCAAACTTTCACCCTTTGATTATTGTCCTGGGCTCCGTCAGCGTCTTTAACTAAATCAGCCTCCACACATTTAGTGAGCCACGTAATGCACACTGTGCTACATATATGTGCCTGAATGAGAAATGGATGTAATTCTCTATACCTAGTTCTGACCCCTCCCTGATGAGCACATCCACGAGGGACTGCGCTAGGGTGGCCCGGGAATGTGAGGCGTAATGAAGACATGTCTTCTCATCACTGTCGCTGGCATGGATGTCGCTGAAAATATACAAAAATGTTACACATTTTACCTCTAGTCATGAAGACCCGTAAAGATCCGGGGTAGAATAGGTCTTCAGCAACCCATGCTTGCCACAAAAGGCGACTATGTTTGTCGTAAGAGGCGACTAACGGGATCGGTTGGTCAGGCTCACTGACTTGGTTGACACGTCATCGGTTCCCAATTGCGCAGATCGATGCTCATGCTGTTGATCACTGGATTGTCTGGTCCAGACTCGATTATTTACAGACCGCCGCCATATAGCTGGAATATTGTTGAGTGCGGCGTAAAACTCAACTCACTCACTCACTCACTCTAGTCATGAAACTAGTCATCATAATATTCTCATCAGGACACTTACATTTTCGGTTCATACTTTTTACAAAGTAGTCTTGGTGCTAAGACAACATAAATTGCCAACATTTACTTATGATGTTGTGTTATGGTTGTTTGGTGGAAACGTTTCGACACTTACACTAAGTTAGCCAGATGATGACAATTACACTCCGTTAGAAAGATGATGATACTAAGGCTATGTTTGCTACGCAGTAACACTTAGGCTAAATTAGCCACATGATGACACTTACGCTCTGTTTGCGAGATGATGACACTTGGCTATGGTTGCAGATAGTAACAGTATTACCCTCTAACACTCCGTTAGCCATATGATGACACCTCTGTTCAGTTAGCAAGATAGAGACACTTTTAGCCACACAGTGACAATTATGTTATGTTAGCCAGCCATGACACTTATATCCAGTTAGCTCGATGATGACACTCACGCTCTGTATGCCAGTAACTCCTGTATGACTTCTACTGGGACTGTATGACCGATTCAGCTGCAGTGACAACCGCTCGAACAACTGGCTGTCTCGTGTTGCCAGCAACAGCGGAGTTAACCCCTCAGCATTCTGGCAGTTGACATCCTTCACCTTGTTCTCGCGCTACAAATACAGGAAATAGATATATTGATAATACGATAAACTAGTCCCTTGGAGTTAGGTCCAGAACTACCTTTGTTTGTCATATGATGTAAATAAAACAATCAGCTGACCAGGCTCTGTGATGTGATTGGTCACATGTCAGCGTCAGGGGTAGAAATGACCCATTGCCCGACGCCTGAGTCCAGTGTTTTTTTCTGTCGGGCAAGCAAATTTGTATATCACACTGCACCGGTGTCCAGTTGACTTTCCAATATCAGTTATGTTGTTTATTTAAAATATCAACAAGAAAACGGACGGTATAGTGGGACAATTATCAGGGCAAGTGATTTTACATGTGCCACTGTACCGGAGTACACTAGCAATTTTAAAGTTATTTCCACCCCTGAGCGTACTCTTACAGATTATGGATGGTGTTCAAAATATGAATCACTGGTTTGTCTGGTCCTGATCTGAATTTTACACGCACCTGGCATATACCTGGAGTACCGGCAATAAACAACAATAAAATACACAAAATACAATAAAAATCTTTCAAAATCATGATCATTATTATGCCCAGTAACAACTCTGTAAACAGACAGTGGTCAACTGCTGCTTTGGTGACCATTGTATACTTCTAGCATGGTCTCTCTTACACAAATCTAACCCCTGCTTGGCATTATAAACATATTATAAATTGGTAGAGCGAAATCTTAAAACTGCTCAAATGCTCTTACACCATGATACCTCCAATCTATGGATCAATAGGCACTTAACTTTCATTCTCAGCTCCCTGAGGAGAATACACTCACAGTTCCCTATGAGATGGTAGAAGATTCACATAACCATCTTATCCTAAACGGTACCCATTCACTGCTGGGTGAACAGAGGCATGTTTCAAGTGATTTGCCTAATGAGGGAGAATGTGCTACATGTGTTTTATATATAAATACCATCCTAATGTTTGTTCGTTCGTTCATTTGTTTGATGGATTTGGATGGATGGATGGATGGATGGATGGATGGATGGATGGATGGATGGATATGACTGCAGTTTGTACATAACCATGTCTGGACTATGCATTTCAGAGATTGATATCATAAGCTCTGATCTACACAGATATATCAACCTTGCCTGATCACAAAATTTTGTGAGTAACCTCTTATAACAATTATGGATTTCTGAAAACCAGTTCTAACCTGGATGAACAAGGGTTGATAAAGACCGATTCTAATCCTGATTTTCAAGGGGCACCACTATCAGAATTATCATATCAGTTTACGCTATTGATGAACTTTTAGCTATTTCACTCTCCTGTTTTTCCTGTTTCAGTTTTCTATGCTGAAACGTCAGTGAATGTCCTTTGTGTTCTAGTATAACCAAGAACATTTGAGTACAAGTCAGTCATAATCAAGAACAAAACACCAGCAACATATGATCATATTTCTAGATTTCCCGATAGCATAATGCTTCTTTTACCAAGTCTAGCTGATGCTTAAGTCAAATCACGAAGGATCTAAAAATAGCAGTCAAATCTATCATCTGTAAAGGATCTATATCCGATGACCTCAGCCAGGAGGAGTTGCCCCATTGGCTATTTTCTCCCTGACAATGGATTTATTGATAATCTGCCACAGTCAATGAGTGATTGGAATGAACGACCGCGACCAGATCGATTGATAAGTCTCTGACACACCTGGGCAGGTTTATATGGGGACACAGGGAATCTCACAGAGAACCTACAACTGTTAAATGTCAGTGCTATACATAGTTGTCACAATGTGGGAAGTAATTAAGGAAACTACGATTATAAAAAGTCAGCATATATAGAAAGAAAATATGATGAAGTAGAAGTCGAGCACAGGGGTGTTCCGTACTTTGTGGGAAGTCTGTGGAGACCTGTCACGGTATGACAGTTTAACTATAATAACATATACACAATCTGGACATCCTTAACTTCTATTGAGTATTACAGACGTACAGTAAAGTATGTTTATCATAAACATGTTTGGATAAACAGTTACTGGTTTCCAAATAAATGTAAAAAATTTAGCCACACCCACTAAATGTGAACAAATACTACTCCAAACAAAACAAACATTCAATTCTTCCATATTTCCTCACTTAATCTGTCATTAATCTGTCATGGTATGACACACTAACTATAATGCAGTAAACTACGATTGTAACAGAAATAAACTAAGGGACCGTTAATAATTAATGGCTAGAGGGGGTGATGATAATTTTTATGGAGAAGCATGTAAAATGTGAACGACGCCCCCTAAAATTTACGTACAAATTTATGTAAAAAGTCAATGACCCCCCTCATCCTTCCCATATTTCAAAGCATAATTCTTAAATATTTTTATGTACAAAATTGCTCTCTCTCTCTCTCTCTCTCTCTCTCTCTCTCTCTCTCTCTCTCTCTCTCTCTCTCTCTCTCTCTCTCTCTCTCTCTCTCTCTCTCACACACACACACACACACACACACACCTAGAAGCATGTGTACAAAATTGATGACACCCCTACCTCCCCAGAACAAAATGGGTGACCCCCCCTTAAAATCATCACCCCCACTAGCCATAAATTATGAACGGTCCCTAAGAACATATAGGCTGTATTAAAAAGATGTTGAAATGGAATTTTATGTTAAGTCTATCATGTTAAGTCTATCATGTCTCGACAGAAACGAAAGACTCTAACACGACTTCGATGTGGTTCCCCCTCCAGCTGCATAACGAAACCAGACGTCGTTGTAAGCCCCCTACACCTATCAATTTGAGAGCTTGCCCCTTTTGTGAGAATGTTGTAAATGAAATTCATTTCCTGTGTGAGTGCAAATTATATGTTGATCTTACATACGATCTGTTAGCCTCCTATTATACTTTTAATGATATTGTTATAAATGATAGAAATACTTTGTTCATTAAATCAATGAATTTTGAAAATAATTTATATTGTACATATGTTGGCTAATAATACAACACAAATATTTTTAAGATGCAATTTACATGCACCGACTTAAACCATTACATACTTTCTAACATTATGTTCAGCACTATTTACTGTATTATATTATGTAGTGCTCTTATATGATTTATATGCTATACCATTTAAACATAGTGGTTGTATATTCTCACTAAGTTTTTTTATATTTTGTTCATTTAATATTCCATTTTGTAATTTGCTTTTCTATATTTCATAAGTTCTAAATGTTAGTGTCTCATAAGCAAATTATGGCTGAATGAGTTTTATATAACTATTTTAAATACTTTGATAATACCTATTGTACTTTTCATGTGACACTTTAATAAAATACTTGTCTGTCTGTCTGTGTGTCTGTCTGTGTGTCTCTCTGTCTGTCTGTCTAACAAACTCAAGTTTGGCTCATTATAACTATAGTTTGTTTCACATATTTAGGCCAGACCAATTAGATTTCTTGTTTTACGGATTCGCTGGTCATACTTTTTTAAGAATAAGAAAAAAAACTAAAATTAATTGTTCCCTGCTCAAAAAATAAAATCCTAATATTTTTATTGGCCAAAAACGAAAAACTTAGAAGAAAAATATTTTTAGATTGTTTTTTGCCCCATATATACTTCATAAATTGCCAAAAGTAAAATATTTTGAGGATTTAAAAGGATTAAAAAAAATTCCCCTTCTGCCTTTAGGTTTTCTGGGGACAAAAGTCCATAAAACAAGAAATAAAATTGGTCTGGCCTTAGAATAAAATACACAGCAATGGTCTGGACAAGCAAGTCAGCTTGTTATATCCGTCAGTTCATTCTAAGCATGTTTGTTATAAACCTGTTTACTGTACTATAAAAATCTGTTCTTTAACTTCTTTTGAGCGGTATACATTACGTTGAATGATCTTCTAAAATCAACATTACACATTATACTGTATACATACTACAACATCATTACATTCAAACTTGAGAACAAAAGCCATAAACTCAGAAAGACAGAGTAGCGTGGCCCCCAATGACGTTATCAGCTTTCTCCGACAGCCGTACATTGACATTATTTATTAGTCTAGTGATATTGACACATGTCAAGAGAGTAACAAGGGATATTGACAGGTGTTTATAGCATGGTAATCCTTCTCATGAACGTAGGACCCACACTATCGACAATATCACCGGCTCCAGACCCACCTGGAGAACTAACACAAAGTCAGGATTGTAAATCAAATAGTGGGGAACTGTGCCTGCTTCATGCAAGGCTTTTCTCAGTTACCTTTATTGAGACAGACTAGAAAACGGACACTACCAGGAACTTACAGACAGTTATTGCTTGGATGAAATGTGATAAATGTTTACCCATGTCGCAATCACACTGATAAAATCAAATGTTTCTAATATTGATTAAATCATATAGTTAAGAAGTGGTAATGTTTTAATGTACAACTCATGCTGTTGATAACTGGATTGTCTGGTCCAGATTCAATTATTTACAGACCACCAACATATAGTTGGAATAAAACTAAACTCACTCACTCATCTAATATACCACCATGTATGTTTAGTCCCAACCAAAATTTTCAGAACTGGGTGACATTGTACAAATCAATCTTAGCGTTAAGGTGATCATAACCCCCATACCTTAACATAGACTTACGACAGTTATAGCGTTAAGGTTGGTTTGTTGGTTGGTTGGCACCCTGGACCTTAACCAAGGCCACACTTAAAAATCCAACAACTGTTTGATTTGGTTGGTTTGTTGTTTAACGCTGCACTCAGCAATATTCCAGCTATATGGCGGCGGTCTGTAAATAAACAAATCAACAATAATTCAACAGCTGAGCATATGGCAATTGACCTGTGTTTTTTGTTTTGTTTAATCGACTCAACAATATTCCAGCTATATGGCGTGGTCTGGACCAGACAATCCAGTGATCAACAGCATGAGCATCGATCTATGCAATTGACCTGTGTTTTTTGTTTTTTGTTTGTTGTTGTTTAACACTGCACTCAACAATATTCCAGCTATATGGCGTGGTCTGGACCAGACAATCCAGTGACCAATGATTACCAGCATAATGATCGATCTACACAATTGGGATACGATGATATGTTTTAGTCAAGTGAGCGAGCCTGACCACCCGATCCCGTTAGTTACCTATTACGACAAACATGGGTTACTGAAGACCAATTCTAACTTGGGTCTTCATGGGTCTCCAGCAACTGTGATGTCTAGACTGGAAATGGACAGTAAACTCACCAGCAACTTTCGGACAATTTTGATGTTTCCCTGCCATGCAGCCTGGAGTAACAGTCGATGTGACGACTCTGTGGTCTTCTCCACAGAATCTAGGATGATCGTCTTGATGGAAGTTGACGCCACCTCCACTGCCACCTGGCCTTCATAGTTCCGCAGGGTTGGATCGGCGCCATGCTTCAGCAGTAGTTGTACGATCTACAAGGGATGAAGACGTTCAAAAACAAATTCCTTCTTTCCCCACAGGAGTGGATAATATCTGCACAGCAGATGTGAATAGGTAACACTTAGGAGATAAACATCATGTGTTGGCCAATTTCCAGGTGTTATTGAGTATTTTAAGCCGGAGGTTTCAAATGGAATATTCCCGCTTCAAATACTCAATAACACCCGAAATTGGCCAACACATGATGTTTATCGACATTGTAAACACAAAAGTAAACCAAAAGGTCCACACATCGTTTTTGTGTCTGCACTCATTGACATAGAGTACGGGTACAGCAGTGCAATGTCATCAGCCGGCCGTTTCGGCTGTCTCCCATGGTAGCATCTAGAACTGCTCATTTGTGACGTCATTCGGACTTTACGTCACAATATGATTTGAATGATGTCATCTCAGCTGACGACGTAACAATACAATGGTGTGAGCGAATTTCCAGGAATCGAATACCATTTGATCACATTTTTCAACCAATCAGATTAAAGAACACAGTGACTTTTGGTTTACAATGATGAGTAACTGAGTCCAGTATCTATTTATCTCCATGTTACAATGACGGTAACTGTTACAGACCTTTGTGTGCCCCTTCTTGGCTGCCCAGATGAGGGGTGTATTTCCAGTCCGCTTGTCCTTGGCATCGATGCTGATGATGACATCACTTCGTCCCTGGAGGAAGTGCTCAATCTTGTCATACTCCCCATCCTGGAATACAGATCTAGTATTGTGACATATACCTGTGATCAGCCAGAGGTGAGGTGAAATGGGGTTTAACGTCGGACTTACTAATATTTCGCTCATATAATGACGTGCATTTGTGTGTATGTGTGGCTGCTTGTACTAGCCTAGACTTAAGCTGGTTTTATAGTGCTAGCTCACTGAGATACCATGCCGCAGTTAAGAGTGTACACCTCACTCACTTGTCAAGTGTTACCCTTGTACAAATTTGTGGGACCGCCTCCGTGGTGTAGTGGTTAGAGCATCGGCCCAGAGAGCGGAAGGTCGCGGGTTCGATCCCCGACCGCGTCATACCAAAAGACGTTAAAATATGGTACTTGTTGGTCCCTGCCTGGCGCTCGGCATTAATGGGTACAACCAGGACTGGTCGGATCGGAGTCAGTATACTGTGTCTGAGTGGGGTATTCATGCTTCACTGCGGTGTGGTATCTCAGTGGGCTAGCACTATAAAACCAGCTTCAGTCTGGGCTAGTACAAGCAGCCGCACATACACATACACACGCATGCACGTCGTCATATGAGCAAAATATTCTCAAGCACGACGTTAAACCCAATTTCACCTCACCTCACCTCACAAATTTGTGAGTCATTATTGTTGAGACAAACAAGTGAAATTTCAGCTTCATGGATCCAGAAGTTTCTGAGTTAAAGATGTTCTCAGACAATGATGCCAATATATGTTTGTCTGGAAGACTTTGACATGAGTTCAAATGACTTCCAATCAGGTGAGCAAAAGAAACAACAGAACAATTTTCTTAGACCCACCCTAGCCGCAGCCAGAAACAGTTCATCAAAGTCAGGTCCTCCTGCAAGAATGGTGGATGCGATGTCATAATACTTGGCCGAGTTGAGGCGGTTCCTCCTTTGTGCTGCTGCCACATTGGAGTAAGACGATGATGACAACTGACCAATAACACTTCCTGACCCATTGCCTCTCCCAGAGCTACCGCCCTGTATGATGGCTCGTGTTGGTGATGGCAGACGAACCGATGGCGCCATGGGACTGTTTTGGTTGTTCTGCAACTCTGAAGACTCTGGCATCATGTAGATTCCCCCCTCTGGCTCTTCATCCTCATGTAGTGGTGGCGGAACTCTCGTCACAGTGCGCTGCAAAAACAGACCGGGTTGTAATCGTCTGATGGCATGCATACGGCATATTTCGTTGCTAATAATGTGACACTCCCCACCTTGTAACAACCTTCAAATTCTGTACTCGTTAAAATATCTAATCTAATATGGATCAATTGACATCAAGACATACAGTTGCGATGATATCAAAGTTTGCTCTGCCGCCATGTGTAGTGTAATAAATCAGTTTTGCCTTCAACTATTATAGTTAAAGCATGAGCACATATTCTATACTGACTGACTGAGTTTCGTTTTACGCCGCTTTTAGCAATATTCCAGCAACATCACGGCGGGGGACACCAGAAATGGGCTTCACACATTTTACCCATGTGGGGATTCGAACCCGGGTATTCGGCGTGACGAGCCAACGCTTTAACCACTAGGCTACCCCACCGCCCCACAAATTCTATACTGCCATTCATAAGTAACAACACTGTGTAGAAACATTCAGATCAATATTATATAATATATATCTTCAATGTGATCCAGACAAAAGCACATCAGTACAGTCTTCTGGAGTTTCTATGTATTATGCTTTGTGACATGAAATTGTGAATAATTCACGCCATTTTGTGATGACAAGATGCAACACTTGATCAGGACCCATAAAATAATGTATATTTATGAAGTAATATAATATGAACATGCAGTACGATACAGGTAATTTATATATGCATTCCTGCACAAACACAAACTTTGATAAATTACATTATATATCACAGGCTTAGATTTGATTAAATATTACATTATAAGAACTGACTATAACAACCACCACCACACCACACACACACCCATCCCCACCCATCCACCACTACACCCACACCCCAAGCCCCATATACCTGGGAATAATGCTCAGTGTGGTCACAACAAACTGATTACCTACATAGTGAGCTTATCCAGTCATACCAATGATATGAGTGAGTGAGTGAGTTAAGTTTTACGCCACACGCAGCAATATTCTAGCTATATGGTGGCGGTCTGTAAATATTCAAGTCTGGACCAGATATTCCAGTGATCAACAGCATGAGCATCGATCTGCGCAACTGGGATCCGATGACATGTGTCAACCAAGCCAGCGAGCCTGACCACCCGATCCCGTTAGTCGCCTCTTACGACAAGCATGGGTCACTGAAGGTTCATTCTAACCCGGACCTTCACGGGTATATACTAATGAAAACATTACACAGACATTAATGATTCTCTTCATATGATAAAAACCGCAGCAAATCTAAAACTGTAACCTACCAGTCAGTCCTGTCACTGTAAGACTGGATGTCAGTCAACAAACACTACCCAGCTTGATTCACGACTATTCAGGCACAGGAATGTGTGAAGTTTATTTACCTCTCCTCAATAAAAGATCTACTTGTACAACTACACCTGCCCCACTACCAGCCAGACAGTATTGATCAGGACAAGACACTAGAACCTGCTCCAGGTACACGCAGGGCAAACAAACACAGCATGTCTACATGCCACTCAGAGTAATGTCCCTTTGTCCTCAACTCTGAGGTATTGACTTAACCTGAAACAAGACCTAATTTGTCAGTCAGTTGGTCAGTGGATCTGTAAAATACTGCAATCAGAGATTGTGAATTTGCTGGTCAGTTGGACAGAGAACATGACAATCCACTTCTTGTCAACTGACCTACTTATGCTGAAGGGGTCACTGTCATCACAGGTTCTACAGATATGTACCCCAGGTACATTTATGTATACAGAAACCTACCCTAAACAAAGTCAAAATTCAGAAACGTACCCAGTACCCTGAACCTAAATAGAAACCATGTTTAGTTGTTCCCGTTCAACTGATTGCGAGTGATTGTGCATCGCAAAATATTCGTTGCTGTGCATGGTCGTCTCTTTTACAACACAATAGAATGCATCTAATACAACTGTATGACAGTTCTGATCAAGAAAAACTCAAAATGCGAAATGGATTCTTCCTAGGGTACATTTCTGTATTCTGATTTTGGCTAGGGTACATTTCTGCATTCTGATTTTGGCTAGGGTACATTTCTGCATTCTGATTTTGGCTAGGGTACGTTTCTGTTTTCTGATTTTGGCTAGAGAATGCTCTTCTGTTTCTGATTTTTTTACACATCTGCATTTTGGCTAGGGTACATATCTGCATTCTGATTTTGGCTAGGGTACGCTTCTGCATTCTGATTTTGGCTAGGGTACATATCTTGCTTTCTGATTTTGGCTAGGGTACATATCTGCATCTCTGATTTTCTGCATTCTGATTTTGGCTAGGGTACGTTTCTGTTTTCTGATTTTGGGTAGGGTACATATCTGCATTCTGATTTTGGGTAGGGTACGTTTCTGCATTCTGATTTTGGGTAGGGTACATATCTGCATTCTGATTTTGGGTAGGGTACATATCTGCATTCTGATTTTGGGTAGGGTACATATCTGCATTCTGATTTTGGGTAGGGTACATATCTACATTCTGATTTTGGGTAGGGTACATATCTGCATTCTGATTTTGGGTAGGGTACATATCTGCATTCTGATTTTGGGTAGGGTACGTTTCTGTATGCAAAAGTATCTGTAATACCCTTGCATACGACCCCTTTAGCAAAATAGTGTTAACCAAAAAACTGTTCTTTCCGAACTATACACTTTCATGGATGACAATGACTCACTAATCCTGACACAGATTTGGAAGAAAGCATTAAAGAAAATTGCAGCACCTCGTACCTCTCGGCCACTCATAATAAGGGAAGGAAATTATGACAGTTTGGATGTTTAAATGAGATTTTCAGGGGAAATATATACTGACTACCACATGAAAAACACAACATTAGCACCATTAGCTGACATACGATGGCTGAGGCACTAATGTGAGCTGAAATTGGTGCTAATAAGTCTGCTTGGTTTATAAACTGAACATTAAAAAACACTTATGAGAAATGACCACATTTGCACTAGAGGACTTTCCCGAGTAGTTTGTCTGTCAGTAATTAATATCTACATAATGCATACTTAATACGTCTTGACACAAACAATTAAACATCAAGATTGTGATCAACACAACCAAACCTCCACAACTCTTTGTGGCAAAAATAGTCTAAAGAGATTTTAACGCTGTCCTTACCAATATTTATCCATGTTGATGGCAGCTTTCAAAGGCCTTCAATCAGTTTGTGTTCAGAGGAAAAACTACACATACTAGTAAACTAGGTCAGGCGATTTCTATTCTTCCATCGTGATCTGCCCTGTCAACATATCCTTTCAGACCGAGACCAATTACAAAGAGAAATCTGGTTTCAGATGGTTTCCAGCAGTGGGGCGGATGACTGTCCACAAACAGATATATATGTCAAAACTAGTTAATATTAGTGAAAAACTAAGTTGTTGATAGATTTGATATAACATAGACACAAAATCATCCTAACTCACTCACTCATATTTGCAATAAGCAATATTCTGTGTCTTGAGTGTAAAAAAATCATTTAACTAGTTTCAGTTGCAAAGTGAGTGAGTGAGTAAGTATGGTTTTACGCCGCTTTTAGCAATATTCCAGCAATATCACGGCGGGGGACACCAGAAATGGGCTTCACACATTGTGCCCATGTGGGGATTCGAACCCGGGTCTTCGTCGTGATGAGTGGACGCTTTAACCACTAGACTACCCCACCGCCCATCAGTTGCAAAGAGATTGGTGATGTCTTTTGACTGTAATGTATTGGTAACTGATGATGCTACAATGAACTGCATAGTCTTGTGATGCAATTCCATTATGGATGAATCCACAGCTATTGCACAGCAGGTTGGATGTGTAGGTGGTACTGCTGTGTTTGGGACCTGGTGCAGGCAAACCTGTGATTCATGGTTATTTTAATACTGACTGATACATGATGCCATACTTGTTTGTCAGTACTTACGACAAACAAAGGTTGTTGAAGATCAATTCTACCCAGGTCTTCATGGATACAAGTATGGGTTGCTGAAGACCAATTTTATTCCAGATCTTCAGGGTAGATACACATATTTTATATGACCAGTTTTTCAAAACAGACAAGCATGGATTGATGCTATGTACCAATTCTTACCCTGCTCTTCACAGGCAGTTGAGATCATAAACAATGATCTGAATACATCTGTCTTTAATTATCTGATTCTGTAATCAGCAGTGGGGCCCTTGATATTTTCTCTGTAGGGTTGTTCAATAAGTAGGTCCACCTGACCCAAACCGTAAGAATAAAGTGCCAAGCAGGAGCGAAAGTATAATTTAGAAGCCCTGGGGCAAGTATGAAACTCAGTAGAATTAACTTTAAAACTTGGAAGATGCACAACATGTTTGTAAACTACAGATAAAGAACCTGACTCATCCCTGTTATCTCCCCTTGGCTGTTGCTTCAGTTAATGAAGCTTTTGTTATTAAAATTAAAGTTTCATTTTTCTGATGAAGCAGGACAAGTTAAAAATCAGGCTGGGATTTTAAGTAGAATTTGTACTTTGACTTCAATTTGCCATACTTAGGAAACTTTGTTATTTGCACATCCCTTCTATAGTATTTGGGGACACCGTAAATATTAAATTTTAGACAAATTGATTATGACGATGAATGTCATGATTGATTTGGAACACTGTTCAAGCCATCCATTATTGTTTGATAGCAGACTCCATCATTTACAAAACAATAATATCACTTGCTTTACAAGTCATAACATTCTTATGCTGTGCCTTATCTATGCTTAGCTCATGTGCTTCACGTGTTTGTTGGTTAAGGCCACTCAGCAACATTCCAGCTACATAATGAGACCAGACAATCAAGTGACTGATATGGTGAGCTACGTGTCCCGCTGTCGGGGTACAATGGCATGAATCAAGTCAACAAGAACAGCACTAAACCTATTCCACATTCCATACTTGGTGACCAATATTTTCAATCATCCCACCAAATCCAACAACAAGTACTATGATACCAACACACAGCAATTTAACACTCCGTACTCATAAACCTATATTTC